GCATGTATTGATCAAACACCAGCCCCATATCTTTAAAGTGCACCATTTCATAGGGAAGCGGTTGCCAGTTAGGTCTGCCATACTTGATGTATCTCCAAATGAGATACAGTGCAATTGCTTTCACTGCAGTAATCATCCCCACACGCACAAAATATTCCTGGTTCTGATCCTTGTAGGCAACACTGCGTTTATGCAACTCTTTCTTTTCCTTTTCCTCCTTTTTCTCTTTAACTGCAGTCAATTCATAAGTAAAGAAATATTCCATATAATCTCTCCATTCCCATAACTTTACAAAGTTTCTGCTGACAAAGTAAATGTCTGAAATTCGAAGGAACATGAAAAGAGCAGAAAATGCATACATGAAGTGAATGACTGAGCATGGGTCGAACCTGATTAGTGGCAACACAAAGATCAATGCCAAGACTGGAAGAGTTGCTTGTCTGTCTGTCAGATTTGACTGAAGTAAGAGGTAGTGCAATCCAGGCATACAGAACATAATGACTGGGTTTTGCAGAATGTAGGTCGCAATATAAATGAGGTCCTGAGTATCTTTTGAAAGATAGTCCATATTTTTGTTTACTTTTTTTCAAAAGTCGCTTCTTATATTTTTTGCGGTGCGGCCTATCTATTATTCCCGGCCGCTCCATTCACAACTACAGGATTGCAGACGAATCTTCAAACCGGGATAAGGGCCGAGGGGAGCGGTGTGCCTGTAGCAGAATTCTTGAACCGCAATTCAAAGTATGAATGCCTCGCGCAAAAATGAAACCGAGTTATTCAGCTGGAGAAGCTTGAATAGCTCGTGCTGGTACCGTTATTTTTTTCGCTAGCGTGTATATATGGAAAGACCTAAACTAGCCTTATAACCAAACCTGTAATAGAGATCGAATCAGTCGCATCTCCATATAAAGTGCAGCAATGACCGAAAAAATTACACCTTTATTTTACATCAAGTACTGTGCCGCCTATCTAGCATCCTGAAACTCCGGCTTTGATGTCGGTACTGCTTTATAGTCCTTAATTTTCGGCTCTTTAATGCCAGGAGTTTTTTTATCCCGGCTATAAGGGTTTCTTGAAGTTGCTTGTTAAAATTTACGCTATCGCCATCGGTCAAGTCTGCAGATTGAAAGGCCCTATTCAGTTTTTCCTCTGCCTCTTGTTGTTTCAGTAGTATTTCAACGAGTTTGCCCTGGTTTTGCATTTGCGGATAAATTTTTTCGCTGAAAACAGTTTGCAGAACGTTGGATGCCAGCAGCAGCTAAGAATAGGTGCAGGGAGCGAATAACAGTCATTTTATTAGATTCAACCTCCTTAACCGTTGTTTAATCTGAAATGTGCTCTTGTACTTTATTTCACTTTGGACTTTACTTACATCTTTATATTTAGCATAGAGCTCTTTCAATTTTTCATCTTGATCAACAGTCCATCTTCCTTTTACTAAATCAATTTTAGAATAGTGGTTAAAGCACTGCTTGGGAGATTTGTTCATCCAGGTTGAAATTGACTTCCAATCATTGCCCAAGTACGCGTACAACATTCGCAATTTGTTTGATTCTTGCTTGCTCCAACTCGTTTGATACTTTATTTGGTTTACCTTCCTTGAATTGTGAAAAGTCAGCATGCAGTCTTTCACCGGTCTTTTCAATTGATTGCTGATACGTTGCCAATCATCGTTATCCAACGGTTTTACTTTTTCTTTCAAATCTACTAGGTATTTCAGCTCCTTAATTTCTCTATTTGTCCAAATTCCTTTCTTGTTTAGAATAAAACACTTGTCCATAGGGGAGTGGATATCGCCATTGAGCTCATATGGGTGTGACTCTGACGGTGATTGGACTAGGGACGGTTCCAGCTGAATATCTAGTTTGGTTGTGCTTGGGATTTGTGATAATTTAAACAGGAAAGAATTTGTTTCCTTCAGCTGTTTCTTCAGCTCCTGCATCTCATCCACCAGTTGAATTCTTCTGTTCTTAATATCTTTATATTTGTTGATTACTGTTTGTTTGATCCTTTCATTTTCTGCTATTTTGAGATCCTGCATTAAGGTTGGTTATGTGAAAAATCAGAAATTATACGAAATCAAAATTTATTTCAATTTATCCTTTAATTCCTTGTTTTGCTCATCAGCATTTTCCAAAGCTTTAATTAACCGATTTTGAAGTTCTTTTTCCTTTTCCAAGATATTTTGTATTACTAGTTTTTCCTTTTTTAAATTGATAATCTTGGTTTCGTACTGCTTAATCGTTTGATTATACTCGTTAGAAAGCGTTTACTTTTTGGGTTTGGATATTGCCAGCAAGGGAGAGTTTGGTGATCGTCTCTTTGAAATCTACTTTATCGCAGGCTTCCGTTTGGCACTCAGAATCTTGCTTGTTTGGATTTGAGTCCAGTTTCATCTTGTTAAATGGTTTCTTACATATAATTCTTTGTTTTCATCCAGAGAATCTTTTAGCGCCAATTGGAACTCTGCCATTTCAATTTGGTATTTAGAATTCATTGCCATTATAGATAGATTTTCTTGCTCCAATTCCATAATTCTATCGTCGCTATTTTCGTATTTACTTTGAATAGTTTCCAATTCTTCCATTACACTCACCAACTCTTGTTTTTCTTTTTCCATTTCGGAATTGGTCTATGTTAATACCGCTTACATCAAAGAGTTGTTTGTTTTCCACAAGGGTTTCACTCAAAGCTTGTTCAAGCTCGTTGATATTTTGTTTGTACATATTGGTATTGATTTCGTTTGCAGTTTCAGTTTCAGAGAGTTTCATTTGTAATTCGTTGATTTCTTTTTCTAATAACTCTATGCATTCAATACTGGATTCAAGGTCTGTTTTAATTACTTTGTTTTCGCTGTGGAGTTGGTGATTTTCATTTTTCAAATTACTATAATCTTGATCATATTCTTTCTTTGAAGTATTTTTCAGCAAGAACAGCTCGTTTTGCGATTGATTCAAGTTAGCCTGGATTTCATTCAACTGGGATTTTTGCATTTGAATCACTGAATCTTTTTGGTTCAAGATTTGCTGGTATTCATTAATTTTCGATTGAAGGTAGCTTTGGTTTGCTTTTATATCATTAATTTCCGCCTCTTGCTCCTTGATTTGATTCTGCAGTTCTGAAATTACTGGGGTTTCTCCATGTGCAGCAGTGGTTGATAATCGGCTGATTTCCAAATCTTTTTCATTTATAATTTCTTGCAATTGTTCAACTTTCGTGAGCAAGATCCATTTATCAGCATGTTCTTCAGGCTTCTTTTCCAATTCATCGATTTCAGCAGTGAGTTTCTTGACAATCTGTTCCATTTCATTAATAATATGGTCCTTTTGGCTTTCATTTTCTTCCAGTTGCGCCTTCAGGCGTTTGTTTAGCAAGGATAGTTGCTCAATCTGATTATTCTTTGATTCCAACTCCAATTGCACAACAATATTATGGTTAACCAGGTCGTGTTCCTTATTGTCACTAAAAGAATCGTTCTTGATCTCTATCGTTTCGGTGGGATCTTCCTTGTGTAATAGGTCCAGGGTATCTGTTATATCTTGTTCATCGGGTACGCTTTCTTTGACGTGATTTTCAACTGATTCCTTTTCAGGAGCATCCACTTGCTTTTTGTGCTTTACTGTAGGTTCTTTTTCCTTGGTTTTTTCAAGTGCAGGCCGTACTTTGTTCTCCAGCGCCTGTTTGGCTGGCTTTTTGATTTCACTTTTGGTTACCTTTGAGTCTGGCTTGATATCTTTCTTGGTGACGGTGTTGCTGTTCTTTTGTTTTAAAACTTTGTTGGTTAGCCATTCAGCGAGCTTCTCCTCTCTTGACTTTTGCATCTCCTGTTTTAGATTCTGGACAACAAATCGGAAAAAATGGAGAACACCAAGGCAGTCAAGTTCACAAGAATCTTGAACAAGGGCGAGAAACCCGCAGCGGAATCGAATATCGGCAAAAAGAGGATCAACCCATTCACAATCACACAGACTCAAAAGAAGCAAACATCGTTCAAGAGCACAACCTTACAGTTGTTTAAAAAAGAGCGGGAACAAGAAGTTTCCATACCTTTAAAAGAGATACAAATTGAAAGAATCAAAATCGAACCCAAAAAGGCAGAGGATCTGTACATAGACTGGGCATTGAAAACGCGGATAGTAATTATCTGCGATTTTCACATTAAACCAGATCCAAAGAGAGAAACAATGGAGATGATTCAATTTTGTACCAGCCAGCCCTCTTCAAACGACAAGAACACGCTGTTTAGAAAAGACTCTTTAACAAAACACTTGTACAGCTGGTTTCACCAGTCTAAAGATTGGAAATTGTCAATGCAGTCGTTGTACTTGATGCTCAAATCATACAAATCAGACTATTTCTATTATATTTGCGAGTTTACAGTTCTATTTTACTTAAAAGGTACCCTGTGCTAACTCCAGACGGTGAAATCGTTGCACACATGAACAAGTCCACTCCTGGCTTGCGTAGTATCCTGGAGAACGAAGGAATCGAATTTATTGAAAACATCGAAAGAAAACATACTGATGATAGCGATAGCGAAGATGAGCCTGAGCCAATAGTCGAAAACTATTCACTCACATTTAAAAAATCTGTGCATGCCCTTTACGACTTTCTACTGAATTACAACGCACAGCCGAGACTCCTTTCAAACAAGATGTTCCTTAATGCTCAGCTCAACCGTGCGAATCTGTCTAGTGTAAAGCTAGAAAATAATCAGTACAAACACGTCATAACTGGGAACTTGCTCCCCGACCAAGTATTCAGCTTGCTGAAAGAATACGAATGCAGAAACGGTAAGTTATATCTCAATTAGACTCGTTTAGCGCTGTTTTCCAGAACGATTTGAATACCATACTTGTGGATGATTTTTGCAAAAGTATAAAGAGTCTCGAATACAATCAAGAGTATTTTCTGAATAAATATTAGCACTTAAACCCATTATCCCCCGTATCCTAATTGGATTGCACTATCGAGTATCAGATAAAAATCAAGAAAAAATGTGCTCCCTGTGAGATTCGAACTCACGACCTTAGGATTATGAGACCTACGCTCTACCAACTGAGCCAAAGGAGCCGCGACTTTCTTTCCGTTTGGTTCTAGTTATTGAGTACTTTGTTGAAATTGAAACTCAGTAATAGTGCTATTTGCGTTTGCTCTTGAATGAAATCGATTCCGTTCGGCGAATCCCAAACCTGGCAATTGTGAAATATTATTGCTAGAGTTGAACGCAAGTTTCCATTTTGAAATCTGCTTTTTTCAAATGCAACCAATCTACTTTTTGTTTGTGCTGCTCACCAGTGCAATAAATGTTTCGCTAAAGCTATCTCATTACAAGGAATCCATGGAAAAGATCAACCATGCCCTAAAGTTCCCTCAGAAACAGGATATCAAGCTAACTTTGAGCGAAAAACTACAGTTCAATGTTGATTTGGAATCATATACACCACACCAAATTGTTCTTGCTATTGGGGACAAAGCGTTTGTGTTGGAAAAGAAGGGATCTGGATATTCATTTGAATTGGTATATTATGATTAAACAAGAACCACAAAAACATTCTGCACACTGGCGATTATGATTACAAATTGTTTATCGCCGACAAGAATGAAAAGTTGGAATATCCTTTAGGGAAATTAGGAATCAAGAGCACCGTTGCTCAAAAGGAAGATGATTTCCAATTGAAAAAAGAACTATTCCACACTTTCCAGCCTGAAATGAAGGAGCCAAATCCATTATTGTCAAATGTGTTTTCAATTGCTACTCTAGTACCTTGGGTATTCTTATTGGCAGCGGTAAGCTTCATTAACCTAGTGGGGATCGATGGGAGCTAACGTTCGCAATTTGACTTCAAACGCATCAACTACCCTAGTTGGATCATTGTTTCTGGTATCACTGGGAGTATCGCTTGGGCTATTCTATACTTTCTGGCTCCAATTGAACTTGTTCCAGTTGTTTGGTTACGGCACTCCAATCTGGCTAGTTACCATCACTTTAGGAAGATATGCCCTAATTAACAGATCTCAAATAAAGAATTAAGCGGATAATTGGATTTATTAGAATTGAGAAGAGTGAAATTCAAGATGATCGTTGATAAAAGTCTGGATAAACCAGTACGAATGATCGTAGCCTTGGTGTTCCCGGTAATTTACGCTGACCAAATCATTCTTTGCGCTGACAAAATTCAATGGCAGTAATTGCTCTTTCAAGAATTGGTCCTGGTCTCCTTGATCAATCAATATTTTCTTTGGAGGTCCGGCATACCCCTTCTTCAACTCGGTTGCATCTAGTATTATTGCAGGATACCATACGCGCTCCATTTATCAACCAAATACCCGGTAAATGCCTTCTTTCCCCAAGCGCAGTTTAATGGATTGCAAATTGGAGCGAATGCTGAAACAGTCTTGAATTTATCTGGATTTCTGAGAGCGCAAATCAATGCACCATGACCACCCATTGAATCTGATTAAAAATGGCTTACGACCAAATATGCCAACTTTAGATTTGTCAATGGAGAATTCTTTAGCTACCAAATCGTACAGCTCCTCAGTGACATAAGAGTACATTCTGTAGTTCTTGTATTTCTCTACAGTTGCATCAACATAGAATCCGGCACCAGTACCAAAGTCCCAAGCGTCATCTTCACCTTGGATTCCTGCCGTTAGTCTCAATTACCGAGGCCTCTTGGGGAAGTATCTGGACATACCAAGATCAGTCCCAATTCGCTTGCCTTGGATAATGCGCAGGATTTTTGAATGAAATTGTCCTACGATTAACGGGGATTACTTCATTGCAGGTTAACCCTGAGAGAAAAAATAATGTTCCCTTTATTGATTCTGGTTTGAAAACGCTGAATTTCATTTCGCAAGACAATTCCGCTGAGCAATGGGAATATCTGGTTTACTAAAGAGTACTTTGTTACCGTTCCATTATAGCATTTGGATTGCGACAGGATTGTAGTCATTTTTTCCAATCTGACAATGAGCGAATCTCAAAAACCGCTTCCCAACCACTTGAAAAATTATTCCTTTCCAGGGGTTCTACACTATTTGCAAAACGAATGGAGAAAGTTTGAGAGAGAACGAAACGAATGGGAGATAGAAAGATCGGAATTAAAAGTATATTCAGCTAATATAAGGCTAAAGTCGCTTACTTGGAAGGAGAACGCAGAGCAATGGATAATCTCAAGTCTGATCTACTGAGGAGGATAAAGATGTTGGAATATGCGTTGAAACAAGAGCGAAACAAGCAGGGTGAACAGACTACTTCCCCTACCCCAGTTGTCCCGCCAACTATTGTCGAAGAAGATAAACCCGAACCTACAGAAACGTCAACTCCACAAGCGAATGTTTTGCCTCAAGGAACATTGTTGAATTTCACCAAAGGATTTGGCCATTCGAGAAGTAGAGAGCTTTTGAAGAGGTTTGATGTCACTAACAAGTTATTTGAAAGAGGCGGATGTGCTTTTATCAACTGCAACAATTGGAAGAAAGATTTCAAACGATTTGCCGTTTCAAGGAGGGGAAACCAAACGCGAAGAGCCAGTGGATAGCGATCTAGAACAGTACAAAAAAGGAACGGTTAAAAGATCGCCATTCCAAGACGAAGGAACCGGAATAGATTTTGGGAATTTGCCAGACAATTTCGATTTGCATTCTGCAACAATTAAAGCCGATCGTTCAAAGAAAAAATATGGGCATGTAAAGACAATGTCCAAGGGTTCGATTAAATTACCTCCTTCAATTAAAAAGATTGATACCAGTAAGCTGCATTTGATTTAGATGAATCTGTCAATTATACCCCAACAGACAGCAATTCGCCAGACAGTCCACCAAGTGATCTCAGCACCAATTACGGAACTGAAGTCGGGGCTAATTATGAAAGTTTAGCGGCCCCCAATGTTGTCAAGAAGAGTTTATGGCAAGCACAGCCTCCACTTCGAGGGCATTTCGACGCAGTGCGAGCAATTGCATTTCACCCTACTGATTTGGCAGTTTTATCAGGGTCGGAGGATAAAACTGCCAAGTTATGGCGAGTATCCCCGAGCGCAGTAGTGGATAAAGAGTAATCTGTGCTTATATTAGACGAGACTCTAAAACAGTGATTACATTCCGTGGACACACACTTGCAATTACAAGTGTGGCAATCTCATCTTTAGATGAAATATGTTTTACTGCCAGTATGGATGCAACAATTCGAATTTGGAATATTCCACCTTTAAATAGACCCGCCTATTCAAAATATGGTAGAAATTGACTGACTCAGAACCTTCATATGCAGCATCTACTCTGGTAGGACATTCGGACGCAGTGTGGCAAATCAAACCACATCCGGCAGCCCCGTTATTAATCTCTGCTTCTGCAGACGGATCTCTAAAACTTTGGGACATAAATTCAGAATCTCCGGCTCTTAAATCGACTTTCTGGTACAACGGATTTACAAAGTCGTCTTTGAGCCAGTTTGAATCTCCAACAAGTGTTTGCTGGGGAAATGCAAATACAGTTATTGCAGCCTACAAGAACAGCGTAGTTAAAGCGTTCGATATTCAAACAGGAACTGTAACTACTGCTTTTGAGAGTAATTTAACCTTTGGTAATTGGAATTAACGCAGATTCTTCTATCCGCACGCAAATCAACAAGATTATCAAACATCCAATAGAACCAATATTAATTACAGCTCATGAAGACGGAGATATAAGATTATTTGATATGCATACAGGTAATTAGCATTAACATAGGCAAGGCAATTTCAACCATCCAAGGCCATACTGGAGGTGTGTCGGCTCTCTCTATGTCATCAGATGGCTCGACCTTAGAATCAGGAGGTACATGAAACTAATCCAGGTCATGATGGCACTATCAAGTGGTATGATTTCGATTCGCGGCAAGTAGTACAAGAATTAAATACATTCAAAACAAAAGGAGGCGAGGGAGTTTGGGCACTGGACCATCATTCTGTGTATAAAGGCATGATGGCTTGTGGCGGGGCTGATTCTACATGCACAATTTACAACAATTAATATAAAAGTTAAATCTAATATTCCTTGGTGGAGTTGGCAAGGGTGGACACGGGTGATGCAACATATTCCGGCCGCATGCGGTATCCACATGGTTTTAAGCGCAAATACTGCTACCTGACATTGCATACAATTGTGGACTGGATCCACTCTAGTCGTAAATTATTTATCCACTCCCATCGCGTTGTTTTTACACGTAAAGAAAAGGTGGCGTTCTGAAAATCGTTAGAACTTCTTCAATCATCCGAAATAATGAATCCAGAATAGTAACTGTGAAATAACCAAAGCGATTACCTTTTTAAACTTTTACTCATTGGTGATTCTGGAGTTGGAAAATCTTGTCTTTTGCTGCGTTTTGCTGTATTTATTCCTTAATTTAGGACGACACTTATACTGAATCCTATATCAGTACAATTGGAGTCGATTTCGTATTTTGTTATTAAACTAGAAAATTCGCACTATTGAGCTCGAAGGTAAAACAGTCAAACTTCAAATTTGGGATACTGCAGGCCAAGAACGATTCAGAACCATTACTTCCAGTTATTATCGTGGAGCACACGGAATTATCGTCGTCTACGATGTTACAGATCAAGACACTTTCACAAATGTCAAGCAATGGCTCCAGGAAATCGACCGATACGCATCAGAGGGTGTCAATAAGCTTTTAGTTGGAAACAAGTCCGATTTAGTAGAAAAGAAGGTTGTAGAATTTACAACAGCAAGCGTAACTTTGTACTGATTCGTAGGAATTTGCAAACCAATTGGCAATTCCATTCTTGGAAACCTCCGCCAAAAACGCTACCAACGTCGAGCAAGCTTTCATGACAATGGCAAAACAAATTAAAGACAGGTACAGCTAAATTAATGTAGAATGGGATCCACTACATCAGCTCAGCCATCAAAAGATAAAGCAAACATCAAAGTTGGACAAGCCGTTCCTACTCAGCAAGCTGGAGGTGGATGTTGTTAATTTGTTCTATTTAGGAATAGAAAGTTGCTTTATTAAAATATCGTTTGATTTCTATTTGCTTTTAAATTATTCGTCACACCATCTGATTTAC